CTGCGCAAGCCGTCGCCGGTGGCAGGTGAGCGGGCCGCGGGGGGAGGGTGCCCGGAGCCAGCCCGCCCGCCACAGCCGGAGGGGACCCCGGACCCCAGCCCCGCAGACCGCCCCTGGCCGAGGGCCCTTCCCAGGAGGCCCAGAGGCGGCTGCGGGCCGGGCCCAGGGGGCGAGACAAAGCCGGGCCTCCCCATAAGCAGCCGGGGGCGCCCCAGAGGGTCACTGAGTTGTGCGGGTGCTCAGAGCGGGAGCCCCGGACCCGGCGACCCCACCGTGCTGGCCGCTAGTGCCAAGCCCAGGAGGCCCCTTCCCACCTTCCCAGGTAGGGCAGGGCTGGGCCGCGCAGGGAGCGGAGCACTGGCCCGGGCTGGGCAGGAGCAACACCTGCGTTGTTTGGGGACACTTGTCCTCCGGGAGGAGAGGCCAGTCCCACTTCAGACCCCCCAGCCTGCAGCCCAGTGTGGTTCGAGAAGGCCCACAGGAGCCCCCGAGGTTTGGCTCCAGTGATTTGGGCACAGTTGGGAAGCTGTCGCCTGCACCCTGCAGCTGTTTCAGGGGACAGGTGCCCTGGAGCCGGCCAGGCACCCAGGGGTCTGTGTGGGATGTTGGGCATGGGAGTGATCGTGGCTGCCTCATGCACATGGGCTGCCAGAGTGGCTTCCAGGTCACCCGGGTGTCTGTCACCTGCCTGGAGGGGATTGGGGTGGGGACGCTGTCCTGGGACCCCTCTGCGGTGTGGTGCGGCTCTGGGTGTGCTGTGGGGCCGCACACGGCGCCTGCTCCTGGCTGTGGACAGTGGCTTCCAGCCGGGCCTCAGCCTCCCCTGCAAGGGCCTGGCTCCTGGCTCCACACCGCCCATTTCTCCACTCCTGCTTCAGGCCCAGACCAGGGGGCCAGGGTGTGAGGGCGGGAGGTGGCGAGAGGGAGCAGGAGGCGGTGGCGTGGAGTGCAAGAGGCTCTGGTCAGCAGTGGTGGAGGCAGGGGCCAGCTGCTTGGTGGGACGGATGGCCCAGAGCCTCCAATGAGGCCAAGGGACCCAGCAAGGCACCTAGGAGAGGCGTCCCACTCACAAGAGCATCCCCGGGCTGTGGTCTTTCCCTCTCAGAGAGTTTTCTCTCCAGGTCACAGAGAGCTTATGAGGCAGGGCCCACCTCAGAGGCTCCCTGGGCCTGGCAGGCGCCACGGGGGAGTTTGCAGTGGTCCCCAACGCTGGAGAACGTGTGAGTCCATAAGTGGACTTGGTGGCTGTCCAGCATCTGTTAGGTGTACTGCATGTGTGGGGGCAGGTGACAGAGCAGGTCCAGTGGTAGGGCACTCACTCAGAGGGCCAAGGGGCTCCGGGGCTGGGCTCGGGGACAGGGACAGGAGGTCATGTGGGGGCGGTGAAGGTTCTCCAGCCCCTTCTGGGCTGATGTCCCTTCTGAGCCTGCAGCCAAAGCGTACCCTGCACTCCCATCTCAATGTCCTGGCACCCAACGGTTGCTTTAGCAGCTCTCTCGCTGAATCCTGGCAGATGACAAGGCTGGACAGGACTGACCTCCTGGCCTGCCCCTCCCAGCGCACCCCGCCCCGTCCAGGCCAGCCCTCTCCTCTCTGGTCAGAGGCTGACACCCCTCCCATCCCCTCCTGGACCTTCACGAGCCAATCTTGATGGCGGCCCCCACCACAGCCCCCAGGGGAGCTTTGCCCAGCTGTCCCCTCCCTGTGGCGCTGAAGACTGCCTCCTTCGTGGGGACTCAGGCGTGGGGACTCAGGAGGGGGGAGCAGGTCCCTGCCGGAGGAGCTGCCGGCTCAGACCCCGCTGATCCTGGTGTGGAGGAGAGAGGAAGGGTCGACCCAGCTTTCTTATGATAACAAATCAATGGTTCTTATTTTTTTAAAATCGTGATCACCTTCCGGGAAGAGCCCATGAGAGGCCACTGAGAGGGACCGGGCGGCGTGGGTGGCAGCAGGGGGCACTTCTTTGATTTGTGCTCTGACTCCTATTTGCGTTTTTCCTCACCATGACCATTTATTCTTCTTATGGTAAAGTTCCCTTAGCAAAGGAGAGGAAAACAGCTTCTTTTTACCAAAGTGCACATTCAGGAGTGACGGATCTGTGTGACAGGTCGCAAATGCTCACCGAAGAAAATGGAAAAGCAGAAAAGTAGAAAGGGCCAAAAGTCCCCCGTGGCCCCAGCGCCCAGCATGGCAGTGGGTGCCTGGTCCTCTTCCTGCCGACCCTGTCTCAGTGTGGGCTTCAGGGTGCTCCTAGTGGGGCTGTGTCCCTCGGGGTCTCAGCCCCTGGGATGGACCCCTGGGAGAGGAGGGTGGTCTGGGTCCAGTCCTGCCTGGGGACTCACCACTGGTCACCTGAGCAAGGTGGCTCCTGGTCTCAGCACCGGCGCCTCCCCACTCCACCATGGTAAGGCTCGGGACGGTGAGAGGGGAGGCTGTTGACTCCTGTGGCAGGTTTGCCAGTGCCAGGCACTCAGAGGCGGTGACGGGGCAGCCAGGGCCGGCCCCCCGGCACGCCGTGCTCCGGGGGTAGAAGGGCTGCTGTACTGCTTCCCATGTGGGCTGCTCCTGGTGGCTTTGTCCAACCCAAAAAAGTCACCAGGAGGGACCCTGAGTTCTGGAGCTGGCAGGGACTTTGGGATCATTTTAGGCAGGGAAGCTGAGGCCCAGAAATTTAAGGGGTCTGGCCCAAAGACACTGGACTGTTGGGGTGGGGCCCAGATTGCCTGCCCCTAGCCCGAACCTTGCCCCCCATGGCTGGCTGGAAGGTTGTCACCTGCTCTCACAGCTGACACGTGGGCATCTGCTCAGTCTCCCCCTGGGTCCCTGCTGTTGGTTCCTTTGCTGAGTTCCTGGAGGGCAGGGGTCCTCCAATGAGGCATCACCCCTCACAGGCAGCCTGGTGGGGTTGACACTTGCCTGGTGAGGTGCCCTGAGCCCTGCCTGCAGGAGGCTCCCTGTCTACGTGGGCACAGCAAAAGCACAGGAACATGAGCCTTGCAGCACGTGTCCCAGGAGCCCAGAGCCGCCCGTGCCACCTATGCCGTGCTTGGGACCCGCAGCCTGTGCAGTTGGCAGCTCTGCTAAAGTGGGGCATGTTCCAGGAGGACAAGTGTCTTGGGGGGTGGTGACCAGGAGGGTCCTTTCCTGAGTTGTCACTTGCTGGCTTTGGACTGTCTGCGCCTCTGCTTCCTTCCCCACAGGCATGGGGTCACATCTTGGTGCTGGGCTGAGGACAGGGTGTGGGTGGTGGCCAGTTCTGCTCTCCCCATGGAAACATCACAGAATAGGGCTGGGCCCTGAGGGCCAAGCTTCCCACAGCCCCTGCACCAGGACAGGGCATACGAGCGCCTGGGTTCAAATTGCAATGCAGCTCATATGAGCTTTGTGACCTGGAGGGGGGTGTCACTTCCCGACCCTGAACACCTTTGTCCTCAGTTGGACGCTCTCCTGCTGGTCCTTGTCCTGCCCGCTCACCTCGCCCTGGGCCCAGCCTGCTGAGCCTTGTCTGCTCCGGTGGGTGTCTGTGTCATGGGTGGGGCCCCTGCACCTCTGGCCGCTCCCACATGCTCCTGTGTCAGGCAGGTGGCACGCCGTAAACGTGTCCCCTTCCTGGATTGGATTGTGAGCAGGCCAAGGAGGCACGGGCAGGCCAGCGTGGTCAGTGGCCCCCCTGCCACCACCCCGCCCGGCTGCTCAGGCTGCCCCCTGGCCACTGCACCCTGTCGGGTCCCTTCAAGCTCCTGCTACACGGCTGTGCTGAGGGCACCGCCTCAAGGTCACCATGACCTCCCAGGCTAAGTCCAGAGCTGCTCCTGCGGTGCTCAGTGTGGGTGGGCACCCCCCGCCTCCTCCCGCTGGGTCTCCGCGCCGCCTGCCCTCCACGCCTGGCCACTCCAGCATGTCTGCCGCCTGCTCCTGCTCCTCCACCACGCAGGAGGTTTGCCCTCCCGGGCCAGCCCTCGGCCCTGGCTGTAAAGGCCTCCGTGTGCTCATGACTCCATGGTTATTTTTACCTCTCTAGACGCCTGCGTCCAGCTGCCTGCCTGCAGCCTCATGGGTGTTGATGGGCTTCTCAGCCTCCTGTGTCCAGGAAAGACCCCCTGATCCCAGCCCCCAGCCCGGAGACCCTCCCCAGGTGTCCCTCCCCGCACCCAGGTCTGAGGAGCTGTCTCCCTGCTCGTTTCCTCTTCCCTGCACGCCACCCACCAGGAGGCGCTGGGGTCTCCAGCTCAGAGGCTGGGACAGGTCCAGTGAGCCGGCGCTGTGGGGTAGAGGGAGGGTCTCTGTGCCCAGCAGCCCCCTGCCCCAGCGGCCCAGGTGCACAGTGTCACCCAGACGGCTGCAGGAGCCTCCGAGTCTTCTGCTGAGACCCCGTGTCCCTTCTCCTCACAGTAGCCAAGGTGGGCTTTGAAAACCACACCAGGCTGGGTGCTCTTTGCTCAAAGCCCTTTAGAGCTCCCTGGCACACTGGGACGAAGCTCTTTCCCTTGGTCATCAAGGCCACCTGACACACCCCTACACCTCAGACCACTTTCTGCCCCCTCTTTGTGCTGTCCTGGCCCTTTGGGTCCCTGAAGAGGCCTCCCTGCCCTGTCACTGGGCTTTGCACTGGCTGTTCCCTCTAATAATACTGTTCCCCATGGGGCTGCTTAGCTGGGTCCTTGTGTCCTTCAGCAGTTGGTCAGTTGTTCCCTCCTGGGAGACCTCTGAGCCCCACCCTCAGGTCATCCCCACCCAGCCACTGTGACACAGTCACCTGTTCCCATTCCCACAGAGCCCTCAGATGAGTTTTCTTGTTCATTGGTTTGTGTATGTGTCTCACCGTCTTCCCCTCTTGGGGTTAGCTCCATGGGAACGGGCTTTGTCCCTTGGGTCCTGGCTGCTCAGAGTCACCCAGCAGTGGGCATTTGCAGAGTGAGCTGGGCTGAGCACTGCAGGGGGGGGGGTGGTCAGCCTGCAACAGAGCCAGAGGGGTCCCCGTGGGGGTCTTGCGGTGCCCTTGAAGGGTGAGCAGGATTGCCATCA